CCCCCCAAGCTGTCAAGAGATTCTGATTTACTGGTCTGGGTTAGATTTGGGAATCAATTACTGAGGGTCCTGGGAGTCTAAGATGCAGCAGGGTTGAGAACTGCTTTCTGTTATGTCCCTGGATGAGCTCATTTGTTGCTTTAAGGCCATCAATATGCTGACAACTCCCCAGATTGGTGTCTCTGGCCCTGACCCTTCCCTTGAGCTCCGGGCTCATGTATTTGTCTGCACTGCCGACATCATCCACTTGGAGGTCAGATAGGCATCTCAACCCAAACATGATGAAAACAACTCTATTTCAACCTCAAACCTCTTCTCTCCCAGCCTTTTCTCTCTCAACAAATGGCCCTACCACCCACTTGCTCACGGTAGGTAGTCAGTGACTAGCTCTGATGAAGGAAGTCCTAGCCGAACCCGAGCTGTGTCCCCATGTGTTAGCTGGCTGAGAAGAGGGCTTGTGCCTCAAGACCGCCGAGTACAGCCAGTGCCCAGCTTTTTCTCCCATAGGTGGCAGAGCTGTTGTCATTGCTGCCTTAGCTCCCACCCCTCCAGAACCTGCACACTTCGAGCCAGTGATTGAACTTGAATGGTGCTGATTTCCATTTCAGGTTTTTCTACCAGAACATCTGGAGGAGTTGGGATGAAGAGGAAGAAGATGAATACGACTACTTTGTCAGATGTGTGGAACCTCGACTGAGGCTGTGAGTGTTTGCTGCTGGCCTTGGGCGTTTGGAAGGGCAGCCTCCTGTGGCTCAGCTTCATCTGTGGTTTAAACTTACCTGTGGTTTCATGTCACCTGTGTGGTGTATGTATACTCCAGGGGCCAGGCAGAAACAGGCTGGTCGGTGTTCAGCAGTCACCCATTGGCAATTATGAAATGAATTGTGCACGTGCAGAGAAATCTGTGTGTAGTGTTTCTAAACTGAGCCTAAAACAGTTCAAGAAAATCTAAGTTAACAACTCAATGTTTGGTAAATCTAAATAAAACTTGAGCTATTGTATTAAAAAAAAACCTTTGTTAAATTCAAAGGCAATTATTTGAAAAATAGTGAATTTAATTGAATTATAGAAGACTTATTTGCTTCAGTTTCTTGAGAGAGACGTGGCTGTACTCTCAGTTCCTGCTGTGAGACATACCTGGTGGACTTACCTCAGGATGTTTTGTCCAGTTCTTATCCTCAAACGTTGTTTGACGTGTAGATGAAAATACTAAATAGTTAATAGTACCAAATCAGAATATCCAAAATACCTAAACACATTCTTCTTCTAATTTATCATATTTTGGTAGGAAAAACCCTTCCATGCAAATATACGGTACCCCAAATTCACCACCATTCAACCCAAATAGCTGTTCCGCACGTGTTAAATGTGGCATTTAGCCTTCCATGAGATGGTGCTCTAACACCATTCATTTCTCACCAGTACATGCTGCAGTAAGAATAAAATTAGAACTTGCACTCCCAGGAAAGAGGAAAATTTGTCGAAGATCATTTTCCTGCATGAAAGAGAATTTGGTTATGTATGGCAAGGCATTGAGCCTCTGCACGCTTGTGGAGTCCTGTTTGATTTAGTCAGTTCTCTTAGTTTAAGTCGTAAGTAATAAGAGTCTGTGCAGAGTCTGGTTTGTGGTTCGCCTGGTGAGGGTTGTGCAGCCTGGTTCCAGCGCCTCACAGGTTGGCTGTGGTTGCTGTCCAGCCTTTCCAGTTTCTCCATTGTGCTCAGTGCAACTCGAAAAGCTTGAGTGTTTTCTAGCTCTGATAGACGTGCTCTAGAATGTTCCAACTTGGCAGCCTCCCTCCCACATGTGATCATAAACGATTTACACACACCCGTGTGTCAGGCAGGGAGAGTTCAGGGAGGTGCTGTTTCCAGTTATGGAGAAGAAACCTGTATGTGGCGGAGGAACAGGAATGTACTTATAGCAGGCAGACTTTTTTTTTTTTAAATATGTCTTTATTGATCTCAGGGAGAGGGAGAGAGAGAAACGTCAATGATGAGAGAGTCATTGATTGGCTCTCTCCTGCACGCCCCTGACTGGTGATCGAGCCCGCAACCCAGGCATGTGCCCTGACCAGGAATTGAACCTTGGTTGCCTGGATCCTAGGTCGATGCTCAACCACTGAGCCACGCCCAGCCGGGCAGCAGGCAGACTCTTAAAAAGATCCCTGGGCTAATGTGGGGCAGCTCTCAACAGGCAAGACTTACAGGGAGTCAGGCCATGTTGTCGTGATGTCACACATGTGGGAAATAGCCTTCTATCATCAGAGCACTGCTCAAGGCTCATGGCCCGAGACACAATGGGCTCGCTGCTTCCACACTTCAGTGTCATGGTAAAAGAAGGAATGACCAGCTGGCATGGATATTAGAAATGCTAAGGGACTGGCTTTAAAACTTGAGTCTTAATCTCCCTAAGTTAATAGACCTGGGCTGGTAGTCAGTGGTTTGGGCCCCAATTTCTTGTTTGTAAAGTGCATTTCCAGACTGTTTTTAAATGAGTGTAGATTAACCAAGCAGACAAAACCCTTGTTTTTTAAGCTTTACCTAGTTCGTTAATTTGGACAGCAGAGAAAATTTATTACTCTGTTTTAAACACTGTTTGAATGCTTGCCATAATTTGGTATAAATCTGTCCAGGGTGTGTTCTGTTTCCCCTCATCTTAGTCGAGCATGGCTGTGTGTAAGAGACGTCACCTAAGGCAGCAGTTCTCATCCTCCTGTCGTTAGGGTTTGCGGGGGGCTTTAGAGCCCAATTTCACTGATCTGGACGGGGACCTGAGTTCCCCAGAGGTTTGCAGGTACCACCAAGGTTGAGATGCTCAGGCCTGAGGCATCTACAAGAAAATATACTTTTAACTGAGAAGTAAAGCAATAACAGTAGTATTGTCCTTTGTTTTTAGATCCATTAATTTCACATTCCTCAGCTATATTATACATTCATCAATTACTCTCTGGCATCTAGAAGTACTTTTTGTTCTGTCCATGTATTTGAGAAGGTATATAAATTAGTAAAGAACTTTTAAGTGCCAATAAGTTACAAGGTTATTTGGTTTTAATTACTCTAGTTAGTGACCACAGCTGTGTTTTCTCAGAGGGGCTTGTTTTGAAATGCCCTGATAGTCTTCCTGAGGGCTGTCCTGTGTAGTTCTGTGCTGTCATACTTTAGAGGTGAGGATGGGCTGGGTGGTTTGAGTTATTTTCACCTTTGACCCTGTAAATATGGTCGTCTTAAATGTTGTTACCAGACTATTTGGGGTGCTTCCTTCCCTGTCCCACCCCCACACTGCCCTCTGTGACCCGTTTATTAAGAGTTTGAATCTAACATGAGAACATACTTTCTTATTGAATGATGGTGACAGATTGTGCAACATGGACTTTCAGTGTTCCTGTAGCACAAATGCTTGGATTTAAGGAAAAAAACAACTTCTCAAAGGAGAAACATCTGCGACCTTCCTGAAGCAGTGCTTAAACCTTTCAACTGCTCCGCTTCCGGGAGTGCGGCCTGGCCTTGCTGGCGCTGGAGCCCACGTGGGTGGAAGCGCTTCCCCGGGGCCCTGAGAGCACGCGGCTGTCTGTCTCGGTGACTGAGACAGTCTGCGGGGCAGGGGCTCAGCCTGCTCTTCACCTTGCAGACACTATGACATCCTCGAGGACCGCGTTCCCTCCGGACTCGTGGCTGACTACCGCAGTCTGTTGTTGCAGTGCGAGGACATCTACAGGAGCTTCCTAAACCTGAGGAGCAGCCTGTCGGCCTGCGACTCGGACTCTGAGCAGGAGAACATCTCCATGGTGGAGGGGCTGAAGCTGTACTCCGAGATGGAGCAGCTGAAGCAAAAGCTAAAGCTCATCGAGAACCCCTTGCTGAGGTATGGCCTGCCTGCTGCTCCTGGCTGCTTGGCTTTGCTTTTTTTTATTTTTTTAAGGGAAAGCAAAAGTTTATTGAAGGATAGATAAAAGTTCCCACCACAGGGAGAGGGATCCCGAACAGGTAGCCCCGCTTCTTTTTAAAATATGCTTTTATTGATTTTACAAGGAGAGGAAAGGAAGGAGAGAGAGAGAGAGAGAGACGTGGGTTGGTTGCCTCCTGCATGCATCCCGACTGGGAGCTGAACCAGCAACCTCTTGGTGCAGGGACAATGCTCACTTCTGAGCCACCAGCCAGGACAGTTGGTTTCTTTTCTAAGCAGCCATACTGCTCACAGCTCTCTCTGGTTTCTTTAAGGTACGTGTTTGGTTATCAGAAAAATTCTAATATCCAAGCAAAGGGTGTTCGTCCAAATGGCCAGAAGGTCACCCACGTGGTCTCCCCCACCATGATGACGGGGCTGCTGCAGGCCCTGCTCAGGGACAGGCTCTGTCAGGAGCCTTGTCACGAGGACATAGAGGTCCAGGTAAAGGGGTTTCTTGCTCCGGGTGGCTTTCCCTCTTCTCTTTACCTCAGGTTTTTCTGAGCTCTGCAGAGTGCTGATGGGCCCCTCCAGAGCTGCTTTTCTGTGGAGTGGGCAGTGCTCACTTCAGTGCTCCCTTCAGTCGGCACTCGGCAAGCATGCCCTGGGCACATGGTGGCAGCATGGGTTGCTCACCGTGTGGGGACTCCGTGAGAGTGAGCCATGGAAGCTCCCGAAACACGCGGTTTGCACTATGTCCTTGCTGTTTCCTAGTTCCACAGTGACCCGTTGTCAGCTATAAACTCCTGCTACGAAGGTGACACGGTGATTGTCTGTCCTGGCCATTATGTGGTACATGGCACCTTTTCCATTGCCGACTCCATTGAGCTGGAAGGTGAGTGTGGACAATCAGAACAAGCTGCACTCAGGCAAGACGGGCTTAAGAAACAGGAGCCACCGCCTTGTTGGAGCTCCAGGAATAAATGTGATTTTAGTCCATTTGGTTTCACACATTAAGGGCATGTTAAGCTCACAGGGGACTGATGTGGTGTCTGAGCAGCTCTGGGGATGGTCTCTGTGGCATCTGTGTGTGGGGAAGACAAGCATGCAGAGAAAAAGACCATAGGAAGAGGCACACTTTCCAGATGGCAGGTGGCTCATGGGGGAGAAATCTTGTTTCTAGAATAAAAATATTCCAGCAATACATTTAAAAAATATATATAAAAAATATTTACTTGTTGCTTACTCTTATTTCATAAATGTTGTGGACATACTGGTGCATTAAAAAAAAATTTAGGTTGTTTTTGTGAGAGGTATAGATCCAACTTGAAATCGGACCAACAATCTTGTTTTTTAAAACCTTGCTGAAGGTCACAAATTCTGCCCTTTGGATCTTGACCAGAGTGTGCTCTTAAGAACATTAATGTTGAAGATTCTATTAAAAATAACTTCTTAGCAGTTACATTTCTTGTACATTTAGAGTGATGCTAGAATTCAGGTTGTTGTGCAGTCGTTCATCTTAGTCCTGTGTTTTCATAATGTGTCAAATTTACATGCACCTGTTCAACTATTTACCAAAGAGCTTCAAGTCAGCAATAAAGCTTGTAATGCAGACAATCATCCATCATTGTGGGCCTCGTGCAGCTGTTCACAGACGGTGTCAACTGTGCCCTTTGTCTTCATCTTGTCAGAGCTTCCTAATGGAAGCAAGGCCGCACTCGGCCCTGCTGTTCATCAGCACATCGCCTCCCCTTTTGTTTATGTGTGCGCTTTGTTCTCTGCTCTCCAGCCTGATAACGTAGGAGAGGTATGACTTCCCCATACACACCTGCAGGGTAGGTCTCCGCAACAGGAGCACTTTATTGGCACAGTGAGAAGAGCAGGGATGCTATAGATCGTGCGCTGGATATTCGCTCTTCCTGGATTGGTGAGGAAGTGGTCATGCAATGGCCAAAGTGTCATAAACGACCACACAGAATCCTGGTAGTTCAGTGTAACTGGCTAAGTTTGCTAACAGGGCACTTCTGAGAATCTGGGCAACTGGGTGGTATCTAGTGTGAGCATGGACAAGAGTACAGCTTGTCCGAGGCTGATCTGGTCCTCAGCCAGCACCTGTAACGAGATACACGGAGCACTTTCAAGGTGCAGGGTGTCAGTGCAGATGGCAGGGTGTTTCCTGCTTAGAACTTCATTCACTTAGGTGATGGTTTTATATTTTAAACTGCTAAGAATACATAACTTATGTCATAACCTCAGTTTCTTTTTCAATATGGCATTTTTTTTTACATTTAAAATTTTTCTGATGATAAACTGGTTATTGTGGAAAACGTGCAGGGTACAGGCAGACAAATGATTTAGATTTGTAGAGGTCTGATGTTTTTCATTGGTTAACAAGGTTCACCTATTTTTTCCAGTAGCTAAAAGTGTTTTAAGTCATTTTGTCAGATTTTAAGTCAGTCTGTTTAAGAGAATATTAAATTAGCTAATCTTAAAAAATGCTTAGGCTTTCTGATACCTAATTTTATTAGGATGATAGAATCTTAGAGTTGAATGTTTTAAAGCCCTTTGACCAGCTGTGAGTACCTAGGATCAGTTATTTTTTTACAGCAGATTTGTAAGTGAATTGAGTGCTGACCTGGTCTGAGATGGTTATTGGGTGGCATTCCTGATACGGGGGAAAATTGAGGAGTTATTAAAAGTTGTATACTCTGGTTTAAATTAAACAAGATGTGTGGGGAGAGAATTAGATTTTATTTCAATGCAGCTGGGTTGATTGGTCTTGCATATCGTTAAGAGTTATTTGAAACAGAAACCTGCCGTGGCAGTTTGTGTTCAGACCTCTCCCTGTGCCCACGCTAATGCCTGCTCTCTTTCTTAGGATATGGTCTGCCCGATGATATCGTGATAGAAAAGAGGGGCAAGGGAGACACTTTCGTGGACTGTACGGGTGCAGATGTTAAAATCTCAAGCATAAAATTTGTTCAGCATGATGCTGTAGAAGGGATTTTAAGTGAGTATCTGAATATTTTGTGTACGATTTGTTCTAGGCTTTGAGGGAAACTTTCCTTTCCCTGGAAGATACAGTCTAATAAAATACCACTCTGGAGTCTAGAGGCTGATTAGTTATTTATGTACTTAGAGGGACAAAGTTTAACGGTAGCTTTTGAGCAGACTTGAAAGCTTACTCCAAATGGAAAAATTAGTTCAGCCTATTCCTGAAAGCGGGGTAGTTAAAGATTGGCTTCTGTGTGATCATTTTTTCTTTTAAAGCATCTCAAGATCGTGATCTGTGTTCTTTGTATCCGATTTAGGCCTAGATACAACCAAGGTACCTCCGTGTGTCACTAGTATTTGTTTCCTGGGATCTGCACCCCCTTCCTTGAGTTGCGCCTCCAGCATGCTCAGGAGAGTGAGACTGTCAGATACCATTTTTTTGTAATTAAAAAGTGCTTTTTAACTTGATTTTGCATTTCTCAGGTCAAGTTATTCTTATTTAAGCATGCTGCTTTTAGATTTTAGACAGTAGCTAAAAATAGTCATCATTTGATATATCTTGAATTTGTAATTCCATAACAAAGTTTAATGGTAGCTATTGAGCAGTATTTAGGCCATCTGATGCCAGCTCTGGGCCATCTCTCATGCTGGAGAAGATGCATTAGGTCTGGCGTGTGGTTGCGTTTTCCTCCCAGTTATACACCGGGGCAGGACCACTGTGGAGAACTGTGTGTTGCAGTGCGAGACCACCGGGGTCACCGTGCGCACCTCTGCGGAGTTTGTGATGAAGACCTCGGACTTGTATGGGGCCAAGGTGTGTGCTCTCCATCCTTTAGGGAGTAGTTGAGGCTGAAGTTCTAAACGAGTCAGTAAAATGTGGGCCCGAGATGTAAACGCATGCTCTATTCTCTCAAAGAAGTCCAGACATTCACATACTCTGCCCACCAGACTCAGTACCATTTTCAAGACTGGTTAGGAAGAGAAATGACCTTTCACCTTCTCTGTAACACTGACAGGCACTGCTGGCACCGCGCTGAATAAGGGGTGGGGGCACACTCAGCATCGTCTAAACAGAAGGTTAACTGCGGGTTTCTTGTAGACATTCTTGACCAAGCTGAGGAAATTCTCTTTTTCTGTTTTCTGATAATTTTTGTAATGAATGTGTATTGACTTTTGTCAAATGTTTTTTCTGTATTGTTTGATATGGTCACATGGCATTGATTGATTGAATCAGAATGCTGATTTGTCCAGAATGAAAGTGGAACAGTAGTGAAGGGATGATATTTTAGCCAGTGTTGTTGTGCATGCGTGTGTGTGTGTGCATGTATGCCTGTGTGCATGTATGTGCGTGGGCTCTGAGAGTGATAAATGATAGACAGGTTGCTGGAAATGGAGGATGGCAGTGTTCATTAGAAATACCTAGTAAGATTTTCTATAAAACACTTTCTACTTGCACTTTGCATCTGCTCTGTGTTGAAGCCTAAGAAGTGGTTGTAATAAACCTTCTCTGATAGTCCTGCCTTTTAGAAAACAGTTGTCATTGCCTTCTATTTTGCCTTGTTAGGGTGCTGGTGTAGAGATATATCCTGGGAGTACGTGCACCCTGAGTGACAACGGGATCCACCACTGTAAGGAAGGCATCCTTATTAAGGTGAGCACCCTCCTCCTGAGGTCAGGATGGTTCCATCCTGGAAATGATTGTGTTTTATTAAATTCCCATGTTGGGTTCTGGTGTTTTCTGGTTTGGACAAGCATAAACAGTACGTAGTTGTTTGTTTTTTAATCCTTGCCCAAGTATATTTTTCTATTGCTTTTCAGAGAGAGTGGGAGGGTGGGGAGAGAAAGATTGATGTGAGAGACATAACAATTGGTTGCCTTCCGCACATGCCCTGACTGGGGCCAGGGGTCGAGCCTGCAACCAAGGTATGTGCCTTGGCCCGAATCAAACCCAGGACCCTTCAGTCCATGGGCCGATGCTCTCACCACTGAGCAAAATTGGCCAGGGCCAGTACGTAGATTTTAATACTACAAATAACTGGTGATTGCAGAGCTTGTGAGGATGCTTTGCTTTGTGTAGGTCTGCAGAGTGACAGGAAGGCTGTGTCACTCACAGCTCAGAAGCATCACTTTCTACTTTATTTTTAGAATAGCCTAAAGACAGTGTGGGTTTTAAGGCAGGCAGTGTTCAATGTGACAGTGCTTTACACATTTGTTTTCGATGTCAAAGGACTTCCTGGATGAGCATTATGATGTTCCCAAAATATCCATGGTGCACAATGTCATACATAACAACGAAGGCTATGGTGTCGTCTTGGTGAAACCGACTATCTTCTCTGATCTGCAGGAAAATGCCCGAGATGGAGCTGAAGGTATGCTATGTTGAGTGATTTCTGAGTAAAACCCAATCGAATTTATCTTATTTCAGCCTTGAACTCTGTTTAGGGATCTGAGTCTTCCCCTGCATGGGGAGCTAGCATATGCCTGGCATGGAGAGAGAGGGGCTGGGTAGAGCTGGAACAGTGTAGACTCTCAGGATGAAGACTTTCAAGGTCACCTAGTTCAGCTGCTCCTTCAGAACTTGATGTGTGGTTCCTGTGATCTGCAGCTGCCTCCTTAGTGGGCTTGGTTCTCTGAATGTGCAGAGCAAGGGTGGCCGCACGAGAGCCATGGTGGCTCCTGCTGGCACTTGTTAAGGATGGAGGCAGAGAAATGAAGGTGCCGGGTTGAAGGCTGTGTTTCTTGGAGGGGATCGTGGAGTTGGCCTCTTATTTTTTATTGCTTGAAGTAAATGCCTTCCTGTCGACTGTCTTTCTTGGCAGGAAAGTTGAGGTAACTCAGTGGGAAGTCCATGAAATGCAGGCCATGACCCCAATCGCTGTGGAATCTCAGTCGTGAGGAGGACTGAGCTTTGCCATGGGGAGGAGGCCTGGTCATTGGGCTGCTCCAACCAGATCTCCACGAGTTCTCTGTAGGTCAGAGTGCAGGTGGGCTGGGCTTGGGGATCTCACAGAGGTGACAATGACGTGTCAGTGGGCAGGGTTCTTGCCTGAAAGGTCTGGGAGGAGGAACTTCTGAGCTCATTCATGTTGGCAGAATCTGTTTCCTCAAGGTTGTTGGACTGAAGTCTCCATTTACTTGCTGGCTGTTGGCTGGGGATCACTCTCAGCTCCAGAGGCTGATCTCAGGTCTGGGCTGCATGACTCCTTCATTTCAGCAGTAAGGAACCTCCCTCGAGGCTGGTCTCTCTCAGGCTGTGAATGTCTCAGGCTTTCCCTTTCTCCATCTAGCCAGAGGAAACCCTGCTTTTAAAGAGCCTGTGGGAACCCGGCTGGGCGTGGCTCAGCGGTTGAACGTCGACCTAGGATCCAGGCGATCGGGGTTCGATTCCCAGTCAGGGCACATGCCCGGGTTTCAGGCTCTATCAGTGACTCTCTCATCATTGATGTTTCTGTCTCTCCCTCTCCTTTCCTCTCTCTGAAATCAATAAAGATATATTAAAAATAAATAAATAAAGAGCCTATGGGATTAGCTTATGCACATCCGATTTATCACTGATTAGTAACCTTAATTACATCTATAAAACCCTTTTGCCATTTCACAGCTATGAAAGTAACATGGGGCAGGCATCATGGGAGCCACCTGGCTCCTAACACTGCTGAGCAGACAGTGAGTGTACAGGAAAGGTCTATTGAGTGGAGGAGGTTCTTGGATAAAAAGAGAAAGGAGTTCAACATTGGTAATCCTGTCCAAGGGGCACGAGACCTTGTCTGAAGGGCAAGGCCACTGACAGTAAACAGTTTGTCACATCCAGTAAGATGACAGAGGGATCTTTGGCAGGAGCAACTGGAAAGCTCTAATCAACTGTGGAAATGCCTGCTTTAGTTGGGTTTGTTTGTCTATTTAACTTTGTTTTTTTCTCCAGAAAATAAAGCAGTTGAAACTCAGATGAGTGGAGAGGCAGATGCAGCCGGGAGAGTGGAGCTGGAGGAGCTGATTGAGCGCACGGCTGGGAAAGCAGGGCTGTGTGTGAGGCCCGGCCTCTCTGAGCAGGTCGAAGGGAACTGTGAGATTGTCAGTGAACTCGTTGCTGCCTCCACACAGAAAGGCCAGATGAAGAAGAAAAGGTTGAGTGAGCTGGGGATCACACAAGCTGACGACAACTTGATGTCCCAGGAGATGTTTGTCTCCATTGTGGGGAACCAGTTCAAGTGGAACGGGAAAGGCAGCTTCGGCACCTTTCTGTTCTGACGAGGTGATGTGGACAGACAGCAAATCCTGCTTCTGCACACGCCGCCCCAAGAGCCACGGCCGCCGCCGCAGCCACTTCCTGCTATGTCATACTTGACGGGCTTGACTGGGCTCGATGAAATACGCACAGAGAACACTCCCTCTTTATAAAAAAGGCGATAAAATCATGTGAAATAGAGAATACTCAGAGATTCCGATCTAGAAAGTCTTGCACAGTTCTCTGATATTGAGCCTGTTGGTAACTTCCTGGTGTGAATACGCTTTAACCTGCACTTTCGAAGGGGGAGCAAGTTGGGGAGCGCAGGACAGTGCGCGAAGGGACAACGCTGCCGAATGCGCAGCCTCCGTAGTGTCTTCTGACCCAGTGACAGCAAAGCTGGTTCTGTGCTGTGTTTGCCTGATGCCTGTCTTAGAAGAATAGCTTTTATGGTTGGGACGTTCCTGGCCTCATCAGACTTCCTGGGTCCAAGTGGGCTACATTTATATGTTGAGCTGTGTCATGAAAACCAGAGTAGATGGTGTAGCAGGTTTGCAACAAATGAGACGTGTTATTTGGAGCCAGTGTGTGCGTGGAGCACTGGCCGGGTGCAGCTGCTTGGAAAGAAGACGCTCTCACCAAAGGAGTGTCCTGATCCGATTTCTCACATGACGGTGACCTGTGCAAACCAGGCGAGCACTGCAGTCTTGATGTTATGTAAAACCCAGCTTTAAAAATATTTATATTAAAAGAAATTATACGTGACATTAACATGCCTACTGATTAAAATGATACTGGTGAAGTGATAACTGGATCTTGTTATATTTCCCAATGCGCGTGGGCCAAAGCGCCAGGGCAGTGTGTGTGATCCTTTGAAACACGCCATAGCTTGATGCTTTTTAGTGTTTCACAAAGAGTGTTAATTTTCTTCTCAGTGTGGTTGATGGTTTTTTAAATTTGAATAAATTGAAATTCTTTTCAGATGCTACTAATTGGAAGGATTCACGTCAGACTTGTTTGACCATTGAGAGGCATTTTTCTTCTAGTCTCTTAAAATACTGGTGCAAAAGTAATGCTAATTAATTTGGCACCAACTTGAGCCAAATACCGGCTTAAACACCATTTATTCAACTTAAAAAACTCAAATTGGCTTTCCACTTGAATTTCTGCTTTATCTTAGAGTTGAGGTTTTGCATATTGTCTTTATTTGTTAATGTTTGTTTATTTAATTCTCACCTGAGGATATTTTTTCCATTGCTTTTCAGAGAGAGGAAGGAAGAGAGAGGAACCTCGATGTGAGAGAGAGGAGACTTCCCTGTTTCTCTGGCTTGTTTCTGTTGGAAGCTTTGCTGGAATGGTTGGTAGTTGATCATAAGAACATTTTTGGAACATTTAAATTAAGGGGAGCAAGGTCAAGGCTGGTTGGCAAATAAAATCTCAGGAGTTCATGTGGGCTGACAGCATTCTCACTGGGTCTTGGTGAGACCCAGCTCTTTGAAGGCCATTTTGAATAAAACCAGACCAATTTAGCAAGCAATTCAAAACTAATTACAACCTTTGCATTATTCCCTGGGCAGCATCCTCCGTTCCAGCTAGAATGTTCTTGCAGAATCACATTCTAGTTCGTGGTTGGCCCTCAAGCTCCGGGTGCTGGCTGGTGATACTCCGTCGCTGTTGGAGCTCACATCCTGCTTCATGCTGGGCCTCAGAACCCGGCTGGGTCAGGCAGCGGGCCTGCTGAGGGGCCCCTGGCTCATCGATGCAGCTCTTCACTCTTCTCCAGTGCTGAGGAGCAGCAAGCGAGCAGACAGTTGAACACTCTAAAGTGAGACTAAGCTTTACAGCCCTAGAAACTGATTTAATTCCCCGTCATTGCCTCTAAAATGCATTTTAAATATGTCTTGGTAAAGTGCTCAGAGTCACTGGGGAATGTGTTTTGACTTGGTGTTTATATCTAAAGTTTGCTAGTGAGCAAACCTCTTTCCAGGCCTGGAGGAAACAATCTTTCAGGCTTTTCGGGCATGGTATTGATAGTAGGTTAGGGTTTGCGGTTCCCTGGGGCCTTTCAACCCTACATGGCTTAGAAAGGCTAAAGGATTTAATGCTCCTTGTTTTTAGGAAATCCCATTGTCTTGGTCCTAGGGTTTTCCTCAACCCAATTTTCTGCTCTCCTAAGTAGCCATTGTGTTCAGCTGAGCCTCTAATCCCACGTCACACAGCTGTGGTCCCTTAATTCGAAAAGCAGAGTCCATGGTGGTACTACTTAGTTCAGTCTGTGTGAGGCTCACGGGTTCAGACAGGCCTGCTCTTCGGCCCTGATGTGAAAGAGTCTGCTAGGCTCCGGACACTGAACCCACCTGCGGCGTTAGGTGCAGGTGCTTACATCGTGAAATGAACTGCTTGTGGTCACGTGGAAAGATATGAACACGAAAGCAAATATCGACAGTAGTGAAGCGGATCTGTCTCCCTAAGGACAGGCTGGTCTCCCAGCATTTTTTGTAGCACTCATTAGAAAAGACTGGGTGTCCTTCTGGACCCCATTGTTGAAGGTACCAAGGACCCGGGAAATGGCCAGAGTGTGGGAAGCTCTCAGGAGTCTCCTCTGGATTCTCAGGCCCCACCAGCACCTGCGGCCACTTGGACAGGAAACTGCTCCTGCAGAGGGACAGAGCAGGGCGTCGCGCTTACCCAGGACCGCAGACCATAGCCGCACACACTTCTTCCCTGCGCCCTGCTCTACCCTCGACAAGCTTGCCCTCGCCCTGAACTCAACCATCCTTATAACCAGGAGTCTTGTTTCTTTCCTGGTGAGCAGATCTCCAAGGTGGGTGGGCAGCTTGCCAGTCTAGGGACAGACTTGCCTGGAGCTCTTGTGGCCAAGCCCCTCCCATGGTCAGAGACCCCTTCAGAAGGGTAGTGTGAGGTGAGCCAGGGGTGGCACCACCTTTGAAGTGAATCTACTTGGCTTGGATTGAGGTCCTGTTGGTTAGTCTCAATTTGCATTAATTTCCCAGCAGAACGTCTTGTCTGCTGCCTCAGATGGCTCCAGCCACTAATGAGGCTGTTTGGGCAAAATTAGCCACAGTGTGCTGGGAAGGGGAGAAGGGCGGGAGGCCTGGGGCTCAGGGTGCTGCCTATGAGCTGGCTGCCTGCTTCCTCCTCGCGGCAGCTGGCGTGCTGGGGTTGCTCAGGATTAGTGGGATTGCCGCAGGAGGAGGGAGGCTATTTTGGGAGATGAAAGGTTGCTTTGTAGTGGAGCAGCTGCTCCTATCCAAGCTCGGAAAGCTTTTGAAAACACTAACTCATGAAGCCTCCACTGCCCGATCCCAGGCACCGCTAGGTGGCAACCATCCCTTGTCACCCTGGGCCATGGCATGGGACGCAGGGCTTGCAGGCAGGGCTCCTGACTCCAAGGAGATTTGAAATCTCTCAAGGGGAGTAGTTTTACATTTTCGAAGAGCCTGTCTGGGTTGTATGCACGCTCACTGGCCATCACAGATGGGTTGCTTGAACATAGCACTGAGCTTGAGCACTGCCCCAGACTTATCCCCTGAGTGTTTGCTCCACACTGGACCTCCCACTGGAGGCTTGGATTTGAGAAGAGGACCGGAAGGAGACAGTCTGGGCTCCTGAGACTGCCTTTGTGAGCTGGGTTTGCAGTAAACCATTAAGCTACTGCCCTTGAGGACTGGTGAGTAGGGACCTGCAGGCCCCCCCACTCCCCTGCGACTTTCCTGGGGTCTGATGAATTAATGCCCCTCGGTGCCCACCTGCCCCGTGCCGTCACCGTGCCCTGTACAGCATGACGTGAGGCAGTCGGTGAAGGCAGTGCACTCTTTTATTGCATTTTTTTCTGAATCAATAAGGAATTCCCCCTTCTACTGTCACCCGTCTCCCAGTTGTGGAGTGTGACATTGATTTTTTTTCTCCCTCGAGGAATGTCTTTTTAATGACAAATCAATTCCAGCACCTTCGTGTGTTGGACTTGGGAGAGCGATTGCGTTAAAGCCCCCGATTGCCCACCCTCCACCTTCTGCATAAACCACCGTGTCGTCCGTGATGGATGGAGAACATTAGTGGGAGAAGTTAGCACCATTTTGATTTATTTTGTTTACTTTGAAAATAGTTTTCTCACTTGTCAAGTGGATTAATTATGAGAAATGAACTGTGGGGCCGGGTGGGGAGGAAGGCAAGAGGCTGAGGTAAGGAGGCCGTGTGGCTGCAGGGCCGCCACCCTCGCTGGCCCTCCACTGCGGCCCTGTGCCCTGCCTGCCCTGTGGTGACAGCTGCAGGTGCAGAGGCCCTGAGTCACCCCAGTGTTTCCTGCCGGAGGGGCGGCTGGGGACAGAGCATGTGGGTGCTCTTATGGTAGTGACTTTGTTCCAACGGCCTCACCCGGGCCCTTGGCGCATTTTGTTGTTTCCTCATAGATCAATGTACTTTTCCTTCGGAACATTTATGTATCGAATACTGTAAGAGGATGTTTATGCGGCATCAGCGATCTCTCCCTTCTGGACGGGGAGCTCCAGGAAGGGGTGGGCTCTCTCTTAAATCCTCATTTGAGGCATGGGTTTCATTGATTCTAGAGAGACAGGAAGCAAGAGGGAGGGAGGGAGAGACAGACAGACACTCAGAGAGATTGATCCGTTGCCTTCCGCATATGCCCTGACTGGGGGTCGAACCCGTGACCCTTCAGTGCATGGGACAGTGTTCAACCAAGTGAGCCACAGCGGCCAGGGCTCTTTCCCGATGGTGCCTGAGTCCTGGGGCCCAGCTCTGTGCGTTTCCAGCAGGTGCTCAGAAGGAGGGAATGAAGCTGAGAGAAAGTGCACACTGGAGTGGGGGTCTCCCTGAAGAAGGGAAGGGTGATGGGCCCTTCGTGTGAAGACTTGCAGGAGGGACGTTGTAGGAACCGTGGAAACTCATCACGTAATGACTCATCACAAAAGCAAACGAAATACTCAGGGCCTGGGAAGCCTGGAGGCCCCAGGGAGCCCAGGCTCACAGATGGGTCTTTTTAACTTCCTGGAGTCACTTTGTGCTGGACCCTGTGAGCTCAGGAGACAGAGGGTCTGGAGGTTGAGTGCTGGGAGCAATGTGCACCCCTTTCTGTCCCGGTGGAGCCCACCCGAAATGCCTCCCTGTGAGGCAGGGCCTTACAGCCTGGGGGTGGATTCGCCATCACTGTCCCTGGTCACCCCCCTTCCTGCAGGTGGCTGGCTTTGCCTCCTGGGGGAACCAGCTCTTCCTGGCACCTGAGGCTGCTGGCTGTCCCCTCCCTTTCGCCTGTCCTCTGCCTCTCCCAACTTGTCACCAGTATTTCAGTGATGATGGAGAGGCCACTGGGAGTGGAGGTGGCAGATGGCCACTCTTACGGTTGATTAAAAGCCTAAAGAACTAAAAACAGTTTGCTCGCCACGGCTTGTCCCACGTCATCTGGCCTTTGGTGTCCTTTGCTCCCTGGCTCTTGGTGGCTGCAGTGCATCTTACCTGTGAAACATGGACACTTGTTCTAAGCAGGGAAGCTGACCTC